ACTATACATGTGGTGTAAATTATTTTGCTGTTGACTCAATTTTAAAAATCCTCAAAAATAATTGTATCATGGCTCAATTATTTATATGTTTTAATAGTGACTCAATTAATTGCATCAAATAATTGCATCAATTGCATCAAGGATCTATGAATTTCAGCAACATGTATATATATCATTATTATTTTTAATAGTGTTTCAAATCTCATGCAATTTTTTTGTGATTTTGTTTAATTCCAATTTTTAAAATTATATTTAAGATGTTATTAATTGATACATATTATCCTATTTATTTATTTATTTATTTTTTCCAGTAGGTAAACATAATTTTTTTATTTATTTGTATATTAATAAATATACATAGTGAAAGAAACAACATCTCTTGGGTGCAGAAGCATACAACAAGTTAAATGCTAGCCTGCCTACACATCTATACCTAGCTAATATCGAAAAGAAATTTTTAAAACAATATTATATATACTAAATATAGTTGAGTAGCAGCTATGCTTACTTACTTAGAATTTTTTGTTGGACATAAATGAAATGGAAAGTAAAAGAAAATTGAAAGAGAAAAAAGAAAAAAAATTATATGTTCAAAGCTATACAAGTAAAAAATATAATAAAACTAGTTATATAACTAAGGATACCTATTTGGTGTGCCACTCTGGTAGTTCCATTCTGTTTAAGTATACTGAAGAATATACTGTATCGATTGGCCAGGCTACTGTCTGGAGTATATAGTAGTAATGATGATATGTCTTCTTGATAGTTGCTGGTACGTGGTAGTGGTGGTTAATTGGTAGGATGGTTATTTGAATATATGAAAGTAATATTAATTATATAATTAAGGATGCTTATTCGGCACACCGGTCTGGTAGTTTCATTCTGTTTGAGTATACTGAAAAATATATTGTATCGATTGGCCAGGCTACTGTCCAAAATATATATTTGTGATAATAACATATATCCTTGGTGATTTATAGTTCGTGATAGTAGTGATTGATTGATTGAGTGATTGGTTGAGTATGATAGGTTTAGATGTAGTGGTTGTTGATTTGCAAAGTTAGAGCCATGTTGTTGTTTTTGAATTGATGCTTGATGGAACGTGCTTATTGTTTTGATGCTTATTAATAAAATAAGGTCATATAGTTGAACAGATTTTCATTTTTGGTGTTGTTTACATTGATCTTTGGCAGGTATGATGGACGTGTTTGAATATTTGGTAATGTGTAATTGATTGAAGGTAGGATGTTGATCAATTGCCAGGGGCAAACTAATTATGGTTTTTTGGAAAAAAAGTTTTTGAGCAAGAATTTTTAATTTTTTGTGGCGCAGTAAAATGTGTTGAGCGATGGTAGAAGTTGTTTTTTGTATATACCAATGGTTCCCCAGGCCAGTGATATAGACAAAGTTGGTGTGAAAGTTTGTGTTTTGGAATGAAATAAAGTCTTCCAAATCAAGAACATGAATATTTAAAAGTGTTTGTGTATTAATAAGTAGTATATTAATAAGAAATATAAATGGAAAAAACCCCAAGGAAAACTTGTAAAGAAGCAACTGCCACGAGCCTTTTCTTATGCAATTCAAGAGAAAAGCAAGTTCCCCAAGCTTGCTTACTCCTGACCAGAGGTCCCATCTCAATGCATCAGTGTGCTTTTTTAGTTTCTTGAGATTTTTGGTATTGAAAGTTAAAGAGGTATAGAGGACTTGTGGATATTGGAGAGTGAAAGAAATATTTTCTCTAATTTTGAAAGTTACTATAAAAGGAAATTTTTAGGAAAAATGTTGTGTACAGAAAAAAGTTTTTGTTTTTTTATATTATCATATTTATTTTGCTGATGAATGGTATATAATTAATATTAATATTTTTGATACTTCAATATAATATTAATACTTTAAAGTATTGTATTAAAAATTTTCAATAATTATTGATATCAATACTAAAAATTTTTTCAATATCAGTTTTATAAAATATTATATTGAATAATATTGACCGGAACTCTACTTACTCTTATAATTTTCTATAATCTATCTATTACTTTTTTTCTATAACAATGGTATTAATAAGTTTAATTATATTATAGTATTTCTTAATACAAATGTGTAAGTATTTTCTATATAAAATTAATAACCATAATAGGTATGCAACTTAATTTAGAGTAAAAATAATAAATAAATAAATAAATTTTTAGCTTTTATAATAAAAATTTACAAAAAGTTTAAGTAGTTATTCAAATAATTATATATATTAATTAATAAATTTTAAGTTTATTTTAAAATATTAGAAAAATATTTAAATTAAATTATTGCATTTTAGTTTTAAAAAAAATTTAAATAATTAAAAAGAAGTAGAAAGTTTTATATATATATATATTTTAATTCGCAATCAGACTAGTATCATATATTTATTAAATAATAAAGAACTATTATATGCACGAGAATATATGCAAAGTACAAATTTCCTTGACCCAGCTCATCTGTTTTAAGCTTAAGCCTCTAGATGCGATTTATGGAAGTGATATATTGCTAGTCTTATGGTTAGGATTAAAATTCAGTTATACTATAAGAATTACAACCTGCAAATCACCTCTACAGTCATAATCATAAACCCAAATTGTTTTGTCCCTCTTTTGCAGAAATTACGCAAGGGACAAGAGATAAAAAAAGGAATAAGGATAGAAAAAACAATACAAATGTGTACAAATAAACGATATATAAAAAAAAAATAAAAACTATCATCTATTCTATTTATTATTGAAATGATATCTCAATGGACAAAATCTAGACCCTTCATGAATATTTACTTGTTATCACCTGTAATCAGTTAGACTGTTAATTTTCATTGAAGCGAATAATATCCAAGAATGTTTAAGGGCACTTTCTGAAGACTATTTCTTGAAACTTTATGCTTGAAGACTTCTGACCAGAAAAGATGTTGATTTTCTATTATTGATTTCTCTCCCAAGCCATGTCTTTTTGGAATTATTGTTTTGCTCAACCAGTGGATAGTTTCAAGATCTCTTTCTCCAACCATTTTCAGAATAGACATTAATGCTTCAACTTGTTGCCAGATTGGAAAAGGATTTGAATCTTGTAATTATTTTCAGTTCTCTAAGTAGAATAGTGAAAGAAAAGTGGCAAATAAAAGAAAAAAACAAAAAGAGGATCGTTCCTCCTCCACTCACAGCTTCAATCTTTACCCAGAACTCCCTTACTACTCCTTTGACTAAAAAACCATCCAACTTTTTCCAAAACCAATCACATCATCAATTTGATATTATGTAACTTGAAACATATGAAAGGATATGTCTTGTTTACTTTTCTGTGACTAATGTGATCAACCAATCAGTGACCTTGACCAATCATCTTGCAGGAAAGTCTGGTGTAACCAAAAATTCGGGGTCAAATTGAGGTAGGCAAAATTCTCCAGAAAAATTAGAAAAAAGAAGTGAAAAATCAAAAAGATGATATAAAGATTAAAGGCTTCTTTTTCTTTATTTTTCTGAACTTTTGAACCTTCTGGGGATCTTTGGAAAGTACCTTTTCTTGTTAGTTTTCTTCCTAAAAAAGTGTTCTTGCCATAAACCTTTTGGATATGTTTCTTGTATTTAGTTACAAAAATATGCAAGAAGGTATTTGAAAAAGAAAAGGAAAACAAGTAATAGTTGCTGCTCACTTTGTTAATTAGGGAATCAGTATTGTTAAGAAAAGTGTATAGACTTTATTATCAAAAAGATATAAAATCTTTTGAGAATGTCTGTTTTTTGAGTTGGTAAATGAATCAGCGGAAAGAGTTTTTTAGAAAGCTTTTTATATTATTAATTATTTTAAATAATATTATATATATATAATATAATATTTAAAATAGTTTTGTAATATTTAAATTATATTTTTTAAAAAATCTAATAAAATAAGTTTTAATAATATTGCAAAAAATAAATAAATTATATACAGTATATATATTGTATTTTATTTTATAAAAAAAAATTTAAGATTTATTATTTTTTTAAAATAAATAATTTTATTTTTAAAATTTACTTGTATAAAAATTTTTATTTAATTTTTAAAATTTAATAAATTAATTTATATTTTTATATTATTTATTAATAATATTTTAAATTTATTCTAATTATTATTTTATTTTTTAATAATTATCAATATTAGTTTTGAAATATTATTTATATAATAATAAATTTAGAAATATTTAGAATAATTAATCAAAGTATTATTTTATTTAGATTTATAATTAGAATTTTAATCGATTTTTTTAATTAGGTTTTTTTAAAAAATTTTTGATTATTGTATTTATTTTTTAACTGTATATACAATATATCAATTTTAATAAGATAATTTGCTATCAATTATAAAAATAAATAATTATTTTAACTTCTATATTTATTATGAAAAAAGAACTGAAAAGTTAAAAGCTATATATAAATTTATCAGTTTTATTTCTCCAATTGTTTAATTTGATAATATCTATTTGTCAAATTTTGATTAATTACTTATATACAAATTAATATTAATCATTTTTCAAAAATCTTTGCTTTACACTGTATATTATACGTTTTCTGCATTACTTATTTCTTATTAATCTACAGATAATCTTAACAACTTCATGTTATTTAAAGTACTAATAAATACATTACATAATATAAATATTAAGATATTTATACAAAAATAATTTCTAATAATAAATTACAAATAAGGTACTTAATTTTTAATCTGTTAATATACAATTAAGTTTTTATTGAAAATTTATTTTGTTTTAATTTCAAGATCATTTTCTTGATTGTCTAATTACAACTATTTGTTACAACATATGGGTAATTATTTTTGAAGGCGGACTGGAAATTTTCTGGTGTGATCCTAAAATTTATATTATATATGTATTGTTTAAAAGTTGGGTCCGAAAATCTAGCATTTTTGTCGCCTTCAAAAATAATGACCCATATCAATTTGCATCTACTACCTGAGAATAAAATAATTACAGCTGACCTGCATCATGTTTCTGTATCCAATACTATTTTTATTCCCATGCTTGCGAGTTCCGTTGCGAGATATCTAAATGCATATGGAATTTTAACTAAAGTGATCCATCGAGCAGTATCACAAATGTCACACTGAATGTGATGTTTCTTGTAAGTATAATTAGAATTTATCGTATGGTGTGTCTTCAATGAAAGCGAAGTGAATATAGAACCGCATTTTCGGCACAGATGACACTATAAAACAATTCACGTATCATTAGATCATAATTATTGCATGCGTATATGTGTTATAATATTCACCTGAGAATAATCTGAACAATTCATTAGTCGATCTTGTAGGCAAAAACTCATTCCATGTGCCAATAAAGAATCGCGTTCCATCTCTCCAAATCTAACGCCTCCACTCTTTTTGCGACCTCCAATCGGTTGCATTGTCAAGTTATGAACGGGACCAGTCGATCTGACTTGCCACTTGTCTGAAACCATGTGACGTAGACGCTGATAAAATACAACGCCAATATAGATATCTGCGTGAAATTCCTCGCCAGTAATTCCACTGTACATTGGCTCATTACCATGATAATTATACCCAGCACGTAAAAGCTGTTCACCAAAATAATCAATTGCAGTATATTCCTCATTAAACTTGAAAGGCGTGCAGTCCTGTGCTATTCCAAACAAAGCTCCACATTTTCCCGCCAAACTTTCTACAAACATACCAATGGTCATACGTGACGGAAATGCATGGGGATTGATAATAATATCGGGTTGCATTCCGCTCTCTGTGAAAGGCATGTCTGTTTGCGGCCATAATCGAGATAAAATCCCTTTTTGTCCATGCCTTGAAGAAAATTTATCACCAATAACCGAAGGTCTTGGAATTCTTAATTTTATATGAATTTTCTGAACCTCAATTTTTCCCAAATCATCACCGAGCAATCGGACCTGATCAACATATGCATCTTCTAGCCCCTTATATTTTGTCACTTTAGTAATCCCTTTGGTTTCATCTATGTATGCGCATAACGGATCGCCATATGTTATCTTGATACCAATGAATGGTAAACCATCGTCGTCAAGTTTTTCACGCCAGTGAGGTGAGGCGTCTGCACCAAGACCAAAGTGATGTTGGATGGGGTCACCGAGTTTACGAAACTTTTCTAGATTGACTATCTCGGACTTATAAATGGTTCCGTATCCAAAGCCTCTTTCATGGGAAGACTTGTTGATAATCATAGCGTCTTCCATATCATAACCTGAAAAGTTAAACATAAATTAATTGATTTCCAAAATTATCACTGTCTTATATATACGTACATGTATAAGAAACCACAGCAACAATAGCATTAGTTCCATTGGGAAAACCGTCTAATCCAAGGGTATTATGAAGCTCAGGTCTCACTATAGGAGTTTGACCTGTCTGCAAACGATATAATTTATTATCTGTTCGATGTGTCAAGGCTGTCGCGGGTGTTCCCATTGTTTGTTTGGCCATCTGAAACGTACATGTTTTATTATAAACTTGAATGTAAATAGCGTAGTACAAATAATATCAAATCTTACTTGACACTGATACATGTTTCGAGGACTTTGGTTATAATCCGAGAATGGAGTCAAATTAGCAAGGATGCTTAATATGTTAGTTGGAGAAAACTCTTGATGTGTTGTTGTTCCTTTAACAATATCTTCTTGTAAGCATGCAATATTCATATAAACTTGCTCAAATGAACCGACCATGTCAGTCTTCCCATTTGCAAGAAATTTAACGGGTCTCATCATACGTCCCGAACTTGAAAAAATATATATCCCCGGATACTGACCACCATTTGATGGAGGAATGAAACCTATTTCGATGTCAATTGGTATCTAAATTCAATTTGAAATTCTATCAATCAACTTCATGTAAAGAAGAATCATTTTACGTCATTAATCTTTGTTTATACCTTCTCTTCAATTTTCAATATCCTCAACCTATCTGCGATAGATTGGGCGTGTTTACTAGAACACCATCCCAATATTTTCCCGTCCAGCTGAACGCATATTTTATCCTTTCCATTTATTGGTGGTTTAACAGAGATTCCAAATTCTGATAAAAGCAGCGGAATTTTATTGACATTCAGTTGGGACGTAATAACTCGACATGAATATGAAAGGTGATTTAGTAATCCACACGGTGTTCCATCTGGAGTATGAACCGGACATATGAATCCTGGTTATAGAGAAGAATAATTATCAGTTGAATAGGAGATTAGATTATCAAGAAAAAATTGAACGTAATATTACCCCATGATTCTGGTAAAAGTTTGCGCACTGTAGTAGTTTTCAACTCAGCAAAAAACGATCCTCGGTGAACACATCGAAAGTGAGAAATGTATCGAAAGAAATTAAGCTTTTCTGCAATAATCGTATAACCGGTGGTCTAAAAGAATATTAGCATACATCACAATAATCATTTTAATTAAATATTAGATCCATACCTGCATTAAATCCAAACCCGTATTCGAAACCAAATTCCCCGTTGCGAGAAAATACGCCAACTTTTTACCGATGTCCGAATTAGATTTATTAAATGTGGTCGAAAGATATTTTTCTATAATTTTAATTAATGGGTGTGAATATACGAATCAAATTCATAGAATGATTTATTGTACTTACTATCCTTGAAATTTACTGTCTTTTTCGCGTTTAAATCCATTAAAATTTGAGCTTTAATACCGTTCAAATAATCAGCAAGCTTTTCCTTAATGATCATTCCATAAAGGTGGCCGCCCAAAAGAACTTCTTGATTTTGCGGTGAATCAGGATTGTCTGGGCAGCAATTGCCAACGACAAAAGAATATAGTTTTCGAATCATAAAACTTTAACAAATCCATAATAAATTAATGAGATTGTTTGATGATGAATTTCGTGCCAATTCAGTGGTAATTTTTACATACATTAAAAGATCAAACTTGTCTTGAAAATTTGTAAGATGTACTAGTAAAACTTTTTTTATTACATATTCTCCAACTTGTTTGTTAGAATAATGAGATGGTAATCCAATAATAACTCGAAATTTCTCGCCCAGTAAAGTCAAACTTTGTTCCCTAGACTTCACATCATGTGCTTTGAATTCCTGAAGCATGTGTTCCACTCGATCCGACATAAAAGTATTTTCAAAATCTCCTAACATCAACATTTCATAAATCCCTTTATCATTGATCTCAACCAAAGACTAAATAATTTAAATAATAATTTAAAATTTTACGTTTGATATGGTAAAGCGAATATAGTTGAAACTTTACCTTTAAAAAAAAAATAACGGGAACTATGTATTCTTGCTTACGCCAAACAAACCTCAGCATACAATTGCCATCTTTCAAATAATGCAAAGTATTTGTCATGGTCGTCTGATCTTGTCTGGCACACCGGATAGACACACCGTATTCAGTATATGATGTTCCACGATTCGCAAAAGATGGTCTGAGAAGTGCCATTGGATAATTTCGCCTTTGTATCAGCAAAAGGCGAATGATCTTCTCGATTCCATTAATAATAAAGTATCCTCCCATCTCTTCTGATTCTTCATGGTGTTGAATCATTTGTTTGGAATAGAAATATTGAAGGTTACAACGATTGGACTAAAATAAGAGGAGATCATATATAATTGTAGACATGCTAAAAACGAATGAGTTGGATTAAGCAATTGAAAAATGAATTACTTTTATCATAATGGGAATAAATCCCATTGATTTGGTATCTGTGTTCGGTGGTTCATCATTTACTTGCCAACAGAATTTGATCATCATTTTACCGGCATATGTGGTCATTCTTTCTCTGCACTATAAACATTTCAAGTATAGTTGTGAATATTTAAAAAATAGCCATTAATTGGTCATTATTTAAAATTTGATACCTCAGAAGGATATATTTGTCTTGTTTTTACTCCACGAGCGTTTTCAGGTAAAAGGGGCTTTCCAATTAATACTTCCTCGATCCATACTTGAAAAAAAAAAAATGGATTAGTGAAAGCAGCAGGTTCCCACTTTTTGAATTGATAAATGTAAGCTACCCTTTAGGATGTTACCCTTTTCAGGGCTGTTGTGCGGAACGTCGGCAATTTCAACCACTCCGATATCATCAACGGCATAATGCAATATTCCTCTCGTGGGGGGCTCTAACAGAGAATTAAAGGATTCGATGTGAGGTTTTACAAGTCTTTGTAGTTCTGGTACTCCGAATTTTTTAGAACTCGGATGAAGAAATAGTTTTTCACGTTCACAAGTGTGGAAAGTGGAAGGCATATTTGGCATCTGATGAATAAAAATTTTTATGATAATTCAATAATATGGCCAATGAGAATTTTACATTTGATCTGGATAACGGATTCATCACATGATATATGAATGAGATCAATTTTATTCAATGCGAAGTTATAATTTTATAGAAAAACACAATTTCTATATAAATTATTAAATAACTATTTAATTTTATTTAATAGAACTAACTAGGAAATTAAAATAAAAAATTGTTTTTTTTAATTAATATATAAAAAATTATGTAAAAAAAAATTTAATATCTATTTTTTTTTTCCATAGATAAACACCAATTCTTTATTTATTTGTATATTACAAGATATACAGTAGTACCCAAAATTTTTTGGAAAAATTTTTTAAAAAATTAAAAATTGCATTGTTATTTAATAAATATTAATTTAAAAAA